TCCCCCTTTCTCTCTTTCTCACTCTGAATCCAACTTGTTTTTCAAGCCCATATTATCACTTTTTCGTCTTTAACATGACAACTCTTCCTCTCCCCCTTATGCTCTTCCTCGGTATGATTTCCGTTATACTGCCCTTATCGTTATTACTGTACAATGATTACCATCGACAAAATATGACAAGCTAATTGTTAACAAAATGTATTTTATATTCATGTTTTATTTTCAAGAGAAAAGAATAAGTACTAATCATGAAATGTATACTTTAATAAATAAAAACAATGGCAAGATTTTAAAATTAAATATAATGTGAAACATTGCTTTGCAATAAATGGAGATGATATCATCAGTATGTATGGAATAGAACCAAGAACAGAAGTAATTAGTATTGTTAAATAAACTACAAACTCATCCAGTTTGTAAACACACTTCGGACTTGGGTCAGCGAACTTTAAGTCGTCATCTAGTGTTTTATATCACATAATAAAGGCATTTTCAATGCGAAATTTATTATACATAATAACATATCATTATAATGTGCCAACTTTATGACTCTATTTGAAGCGATAAGTCCATTAACACTCTTCTCAATCAGTCTCTTTCAACTTAAATAAACAATATAATTTAGATAATGACATTAAATAAATACTACGGTGAAAACGGTAATCTGGCTTGCAACTAAAAACATCATGAACATGTTTTGTTCATGGCCATAGCTAAAAATTGACCGGACACATAATTCCCCCGGTACCGAGTAACATGAAACAATGTGGGAAAAATTCAAAGATACCCACTACATCCATAAAACTTACTGCCAACCTACACCAACCTACATGTATTTTCAGAAATTCCAGTCACCATCCCCCAAGCCAGCAAACCCACCGTACCCGCCAAACCCTCCAAATCCAGCCAGACCATCTCCGCCATCTCCGCCGTCACCACCATCTCCACCATCACCACCGTCACCGCCACCACCACCACCACCACCACCACCACCACCACCACCACCACCACCGCCACCAGCAGCTCCGGCAGCTGCATCACCTTCACCACCATCAACACCATCACCACCATCTCCGCCATCGCCACCACCAGCACCATTACCGTCGCCATCAGCCCCATTGCCATCACCACCAGCGCCAGCGCCACCATCACCGCCATCAGCACCATCACCATCGCCACCAACACCATCGCCACCATCGCCGCCGCCAGCACCATCACCATCACCACCGTCGCCACCTGCACCATCTCCATCTCCATTACCACCACTCAAGCCTTCTAAAGCAAAACCAGGCCCACATCCACCGCCTTCTCCTCCTCCTCCTCCTCCACATTCCTCACTGCTACTGCTGCTGCTTCCGCTGCTACTACTGCTCCTCCTGTTCCTTCTAACTGCGTGGAAAATAGAATATGTTCAGGGTGTTTAAAGGGTTAAACATGTCAGCCCGCTTTTCTGAAAATCAATCATTACACCACGTAATACATTAGGTTCATGATAAACATGACCAAGTCATATTTTAGTAAGCTGCCTACCATGTTTTCTAAAAAATGATTAAAATTACAATGGGATATCTGACGGGATTCGAACCCTTGGCCTGTAGATTTCAGTAAAGAGACACAAACATTTTAAATGAGAGTGGTCCTATGGGTCTATAGTCTTCAAATATGGTTTTAAGATACATTAAACCAACAACATTTTGCAGTATAAAAATGCATATTCTCGGATTTTCGTAAAATTTTGAGACAAAATCAAGAAGATTGTGTCAATTCTGTTTTCATTCGATAAACATGCTGAATAAATACATGTATTTTACTTGCATACTCGTAATGTCTTACCAGGTGTGGTTGCTGCCAGCCTTGCCATCAAGACGCAGATTACTAATACATGTATTACTCGGGCCATCTTGATGGTTCACTTACTCCTTGAATGTTGCACTCCGCTGAAAAAGTATAGAACCTTTATTTTTCTCTGGCTACAAGTCCTTTTCCTTGCTTGTCCAAAGCTAAGCTGATGATTAAGAGCAGTTGCTGCCTCCTATTTATACATGTTCACAATCTAAAGCGACTATAATGTCGGAAGATGAATTGTCCACATTTTCTTTTATTTTCACTGTATAATTATAAAGAAATAAGAATAAAACGCTTCTCCATCGGCCTATTTGTATCTCTAATCTCTGCTTAATAGTAGCACCACTAAGTAGCCTATTAGGATAACCATCATTAGTACGCTTGTTTAGTTATGTTTAGTTATGGGAAATCAACAAAATAGGTTGTTTTGAAATAAATCCTCATAAAGCTTATATTGTATCATTAAAATTCTGAAATTTTCAACGATTTAATATGATGGAAGGACAGCAACTTTTTAAATTCAATTAAATCATCTCCCACTCATATAATACCCTAGTCAGATAAAACTGTATACTTATCCAAATGTCCACTATACAGATATCATGCTAGATTATCCGAGACAGATTTTTTTTCAAAGCCACTGTGGAATAAAGCGACCGAGTTTATAATTATGATTGATCAAGTGGATTAGACAGTTTTTCATGAGGATTAGAAAGTTATGAGCAATGTTGAAGAGTATTTAATTGTGTATAATTTGTCTCGCGAGCCAGTAAAAAGTCGATGCAGATGCGATCACACAGTTCTGTCTGTCTCTCTCTCTCTCTCTCTCTCTCTTGTTTTTTCCTTCTTCTCTCTCTCTCTCTCTCTCTCCTTCTTTTCTTCTGATTTGTTTGCCACTTTGTTTTCACCAGTTGATTGTCATTCTCTTTTTCACCTCTGCTGTACCAGCAGGTATTGACTTTTATAGCATTATATAGTGAAATGAAAATAGTTTCCTAAATACATATTTTGTTAACTACGCATCATGCTTTATCTCTCTCTCTCTCTCTCTCTCTCTCTCTCTCTCTCTCTCTCTCTCTCTCTCCCTCACTCTCTCTCTCTCTTCTTCTCTCGCTCTTTCTCTATCCCCCCCCCCTCTCTCTCTCTCTCTATGTCCCTCCTTCTCCCTCTCTATTTCACTCTCTCAATGTCTATATCTCCTTCATTCTTTCTGTCGCTCGGAACCATTTCCCTTCTTCAAAGAGCCTTCACATTAAACAAGATGGACGAAGACAATTACATTTTTAGGTTTCGTTTTAATTTTCGATTGAAATAAAATAATAAAGTACTTGCTTATAAATAATACAAAATAAAAACATAGTTATTTACTATTGATCAGTGACGTCAGAGCTACTATTTTCACAATTTCAATAAATAAATAAATAAATAGATAAATAAGTTAATTGGGTGTGACTCTCTTAGAATCAATGGAATGAGAAACGCTTACTCACACTCATTTACATTGTTCTACTTACTAAGCACTCCAACACAATAGAATAAAGCAGACAATAATTGCAATTATGTGACACATTCAGTTCAGACCAGACACTATGAACATGACTGACAAAGAAAGCGGACAAAATATACAGTTCCGCAAGTAGACAAAGGAACATCCCTTCCCTGCTATTATGTACAAATGTGTAGAACAGGTGTCACATGCATATTCACCTTTTTACATAATAGCAGTGAAGGGATGTTCCTTTATCTACCCGAGGAACTGTATATTTTGTCCGCTTTCTTTGTTCGTCATATTCATAGTGAGACTTCTAGCATGGTTTTGTATCAGTCCATCCTTTTGGGTTGTTTCGTGGTAGATGGAATTAACTTTCAAAAAGAAAATGATATTTGTATGGCATAATAAATAATGAATGGAAATTAAAGAAATTTAAAATTGACTCCAGAATTTGCCTTTTTCAAATGTAAACAGAATCCTTTGTACTCTGAACATCTTCATGAGCAAATACAGCGTTACAAATTTAATCTCTTTACTTTTAGATAATGCTGACTTAATCTGCACATAGTAGTGAGTGAGTAATAAACAGTAGTGAGTAATAAACAGATAAGAAGGAAGAGAGCTCTTTCGCTAACATATTGATCTTTGCTTGATTAGCTCACTGACAACCAGTACCACATCCACCATCTCCTTTGCCGCCGCCACCACCACCACCACCACCATTACCATCGCCTCCACCACCATTTCCTCCATTACCTCCATCTCCAGCAGCGCTTGCACCACCACCAGCTTCATCACCACCATCGCCACCACCACCATTTCCTCCATTACCTCCATTACCTCCATCTCCAGCAGCGCTTGCGCCACCACCAGCTCCACCACCAGCTCCACCACCACCATCGCCACCACCGTCGCCACCGCCATCGCCACCACCATAGCCACCACCATCGCCACCACCACCTCCTCCACCGCCACCTCCTCCTCCTCTACCACCACCACCTCCTCCTCCTCTACCACCACCACCACCGGCTCCAGCTCCAGCTCCAGCTCCGTCTCCGTCTCCACCATCTCCATCTCCTCCTCCTCTTCCTCCACCACCTCCTCCACCACCGCCTCCTCCTCCTCCACGGCCACCTCCTCCTGCACCATCACCGCCATCTCCGCCGGCACTACCACCTCCTCCACCATCCCCGTTACCACTTCCACCACCGGCTGCAGGAACAGGAATGTAGACTGGTTTCTCAACGACTCTGTAGTGTACCTTTGGAGCTTGTGGAATGGGGACGGGAACTGGGTATGGCTCTGGTATTGGTACAGGTACCGGATGGGGTTGAGGAACATGGACGGTTGTGACCGTGTGTCCACCAGCAGGCGCAGCACCACCACCGACAGCAGCACCGCCGCCGCCACCGCCGCCACCTCCACCATCACCTCCGCCGTCGCCACCTCCACCACTGACTCCTCCACCACCACCGCCGCCTCCTCCTTCCTCGCTGCTGTCAGAAGAACTACCACCGCTTCCTCTTCCTCCTCCTCCTCCTCCTCCACCACCACCACCACCTCCTGCGCTTCCACCTCCAGTTCCTCCTCCTCCACCACCACCACCTCCTCCTTCACCCCCATCACAGTCTCCACCTCCATCTCCACCACCTCCACAGCCCCCTCCTCCCCCTCCTCCTCCATATCCGTGTCCACCTCCTCCATATCCATGTCCACCTCCTGCGGTACCACTTTTTCCGCCGGCAGCTCCACCACCAGCAGCAGTTCCCCCGCATCCTCCATCAGCATCTCCTCCTCCTCCTCCTCCACCACCACCATCGGCCCCGCATCCACCACAGTCTCCACCTCCACCACCTCCACATCCCCCTCCTCCTCCTCCGTCTCCACCGCCGTCGCCTCCACCTCCGCCCCCACCGCCGCCACCACCACCGGCTTCACCGCTATCCCTCCTTACCCTTCCTGCAAGCAAGCAAAGGAAAACAAATAATGTTGGATTATAACATATCGTCCGTTTCATTTTGAATATTTTGATTATCAATACATTTTAGAACATTATGTATAACTTACAAATCTCAAGAGAAGAAAGTCGAAACATGATGTAATAGGGGCACGAGACGACAATAAGAAGCTGAAATTCTTCCAAAGACTTGTTCATCTCTGCCGAAAGACATTTCAGTTGTTTGTTTAAAAGGGAAATGTTCATGTAATGAACATCACAATCACAACATTTTTAGGAATCTTTTAATGCAACTTCAAAACAAAGACATACAAACCTGGTGCACATGTTGCCAAAGTTGACACTAGCAACACGATGGTTAAACCAATCCAGACTCGATTCATGTCGAACTGTTTATTCCGTGCTGATGAGAATGTTCTCTGGAACACTCGTTTGCTACTGACCCTACGATCTACACTTTTTCTAATATTTACTGCTCCCTCTGATGATTGTCTTGCTTGATAGAAGTAGAACTGATGAATTGGGTCTGTCGAAGCACCGTATTTATACATTTCTGCGGTCCTAGACTTCGCTTCTTTACCATTTTGCATCATCAAGGACAGTTTTAATGAGTTGTTATACATGTGTGCCCTTAATGATAGCATCACGTGTTTCCGCATCAATTTTTCAAGCAAAATTATTAATTGCCATAGAGATACAAATATTGCAAGGAGAAGACCTTGTGAATGTGGATTTATCTGCAGACGGATAATGTTTAAGTCGAAACTCATTAATGAAAGGTGTATAATCCATGTCCCTAGCATTGACCACGCATTAGGATGCTTCCGTACTGATAATGCACGTACTTGTGCATACGACCTTCTGGTGTACTGTATTACTTTACTATTCGGTCTTTCGGATTAACAACATCTCGAGGATGACCGAATGAAATTGATACATTCACGGCCCCACAAAAAGAAAGATCATTAATGAATAAGAGATTAATAATTAAATTGCCACGTCTGGAGGCGATCATAATTCGGCTTCCGGCATGTCCGGTCGATGATGCAGACAGCTGAGTTTAATCTTGTGGGTGGGACGAGTTTACGCATTAATCAGCGCGTATCATCAGTGATGATTGGGCTGATCCAGACTGAATGCAGACTATTATGAAATTGAGGAGACTTAGGGAATGGTTCAAGGTAATGTTGATCTTTGGGTGGGGGCTTTGTGACAATCTCAGAAGCCATATCAACAGCAATAATATATATGAAGTGAAACATGTTTAATAATCCACAAAATAAGCTTGTACAGTATGCGTGTTTAATATTTATTTTTCATAAGTGTACAAAAGACACTTATTTCAAATGCGATGAAGAAATAATGATTGCAAATAAAAGTCCACACATCCTTCTGAATACAATAAACCACGAACTAAACATTATAAACTGGAACCATTCAACAAGTTGTCAGTTAGTATAAACAAGACAAACTTCATTTCATTCAGTATTACAATTGAACATTTACTGGGACCAATATTACTAAACAACTCAGTTCTCGCTCAAGTCGAAACAACTAACTTTCTAGGGATATATATCGACAACAAACTGATATGGAAAACACACATAAATCATCAAACTTATATCGAGAAATGCAAGTGTCATCGGCAAACTTTAAATCACATTTCCTACCCATGTCTTGCTTACCTTGTACACTAATCTATGGTGGCCCTGAAGGGACATCGCGAATAGACTAAATCGTGAAAAATATGCGATAAAATTCACGATATCGTCAATTTTATCGCATATTTTTCACGAAGAAATTCACGAAATTGACGATATCGTGAACTTTATCGTGAACTTTTCACGATGAAATTGACGATATCGTGAATTTTATCGTGAAAAGTTCACGATATAAAGTTCACGATATCGTCAATTTTATCGTGTACTCTATCGTGTACTCTATCGTGTACTCTCCTGACGGGCGCTTCGTAAACAAAACCAGCCCTAGCTGGGGGAGACAGAGAGAAGGAAAAAAGGGAAAGGGAAAGAGAAGATAAAAGGAAAGAAAGAATAATAAGAAGAAAAGAGGGGGGGGGGGGGGGAAGGGCTCTTGCCTCCTCCTCACTCCCCCCCCCCTCCCCTCCCCGCCAAAAAATAAATCAGAGAGAGAGAGAGAAGGGAAAGGGAAAGGGAAAGAGAAGATAAAAGGAAAGAAAGAAGAGGAAGAAGAAGAAAAGAGGAAAACGGGGGAAGGGCGAAGGACTCTTGCCCCCGCCCCCCCCCCCCGCCAAAAAATAAATCAGAGAGAGAGAGAGAAGGGAAAGGGAAAGGGAAAGAGAAGATAAAAGGAAAGAAAGAAGAGGAAGAAGAAGAAGAAAAGAGGGAAACGGGGGCAAAGGGATTTTGCCTCGTCCCCCCGCCCCCCGCCAAAAAATAAATAAGAGAGAGAGAGAGAAGGAAAGGGAAAGAGAAGAAAGAAAGAGAAAAACGAAAAAGAGGGAGAATAGGAAAGAAAGGAAAAGAAAGAAAAGAAAGGAGGCAAGAGCCCTTCGCCCCTGTTTCCCTCTTTTCTTATTCTTTTTCCTCTTCTTTCTTTCCTTTTATATTTTCTTTCCCTCTCCCTTCTCTTTCCCTTTATGGCGGGAGGGGGGAGGGGGAGGTAAGAGCCTTTCGCCCTTCCCCCGTTTCCCTCTTTCCGTCTTCTTCTTCTTTCTTTCCTTTTATATTTTCTTTCCCTTTCCCTTTCCCTTCTCTCTATCTCTCTCTCTCTCTCTCCTATTTATTTGTTGGCGCGGGAGGGGGGGGAGGAGGCAAAAGCCCCTTTTTTCTTCTTATTCTTCTTCCTTTCCTTTTTTATTCTCTTTCCCTTTCCCTTCTCTCTCTCTCTCTCTCTTATTTATTTTTTGGGCGGGGGGATGCAAGAGCCCTGCGCCCCCGTTTCCCTCTTTTCTTCTTCTTCTTCCTCTTCTTTATTTCCTTTTATCTTCTCTTTCCCTTTCCCTTTCCCTTCTCTCTCTATCTCTTATTTATTTTTTTGGCGGGGGGTGGGGAGGGAGGAGGCAAGAGCCCTTCGCCCTTCCCCCGTTTCCCTCTTTCCTTCTTACTCTTCTTTCTTTCCTTTTATATTTTCTTTCCCTTTCCCTTCTCTCTCTTATTTATTTTTGGTGGGGGGGGGAGAGGCAAGAGCCCTTCGCCCTTCCCCTGTTTCCCTCTTATTCCTCTTCTTTCTTTCCCTTTCCCTTCTCTCTCTCTCTCTCTCTCTCTCTCTCTTATTTATTTTTTTGGCGGGGGGGGGGGAGGGAGGTAAGAGCCTTTCGCCCTTCCCCCGTTTCCCTCTTTCCTTCTTCCTCTTCTTTCTTTCCTTTTATATTTTCTTTCCCTTTCCCTTTCCCTTCTCTCTCTCCTTATTTATTTTTTGGCGGGGGGGGGGGGAGTGAGGAGGAGGCAAGAGCCCTTCGCCCCCCCCCCCCGTTTCCCTCTTTTCTTCTTATTATTCTTTCTTTCCTTTTATCTTCTCTTTCGCTTTCCCTTTTTTCCTTCTCTCTGTCTCCCCCAGCTAGGGCTGGTTTTGTTTACGAAGCGCCCGTCAGGAGAGTACACGATAGAGTACACGATAGAGTACACGATAAAATTGACGATATCGTGAACTTTATATCGTGAACTTTTCACGATAAAATTCACGATATCGTCAATTTCATCGTGAAAAGTTCACGATAAAGTTCACGATATCGTCAATTTCGTGAATTTCTTCGTGAAAAATATGCGATAAAATTGACGATATCGTGAATTTTATCGCATATTTTTCACGATTTAGTCTATTCGCGATGTCCCTTCAGGGCCTTACCTTATTTGAACTACGGAATTTTATATTTTCGTATACACATGCATACGAACTCATATAATTTATCTCTACTCGATGTGTCATCGGTAATTCTACTATTTTGTTATTTTTTATATGATATGTGGTTTCTTATGTTTACTTTGTATTTTAATTGTATATGCACGGCCCCATTGTAAAACAGCTAAAAAGCTGAACTGGGCTTTTACCGTGAATAAATAAATGAATCATGTCAAATCAGATCAATTCTTGCGTGGGGGAACAGTTCAAAATTTCTCATCAATCAACTTTTTCTGAGTCAAAACAAATCAGAATAATTAACAAAACAAGCTATCGAGCACATACATCCCCACTCCTTCACCCATGTGAACTCCTGAAGATACACGAACTCTATTCATTCAACTTAGGAATATTTCTGTTTCAACTCACAAAACGAGAGCTATCCAACCCCGTGATATTTGTTGGTGGTAGACCCGTAAAATATTTGTCGTGGCCAGATCTTGCAACATGCCCGAAATCTATTTCGAGTGGTCACAAGGGAGGGCTACGACACATCAAAGATGGTTTGGCGACGGGGACGCATAAAAAAAAAGAACATGTCGTTGTTATGTCGTGGGTGTGTTGCAAGTCAGTCGTGCAACAGTCGTGTGACCATCGTGTTGTCAGGTATTGTCCGGGGGGGGGGCTGTTTTGAACGTGATCAGGTCATGGTTCAATATTGGGATGCGCGTGGGACGCTTTTTTCTTTTCCAACGATTTTCATATGGATGTACAGTGTACTGTACCAGACACAAATATTTCCCCCTTGATTGTTGATAGATTTTAAATTGCGCCTTTTCGTGAAGGGTAGGAGTGATGGGTTGTATGTGGATATAATTTGCGGCTGTGTTTAATCAACTTGATCCATGCCAATTAATAACTATAATCTACATAATATGTACCTGTATTTGGATGCATGTCTCCTGAAATAGGAAGTCTTACATGAATTAATTTGTTTAAATCCATATGTTCAGCTAGGTGTTCCATGCCTTGACCATGCTCTGGCCTTCTCGTTCTCCTCCACATTCTCTTTCTCCCCCCCCCCCCCCTCTCTCTCTCTCTCTCTCTCCCTCTCTTTCTCTCCTCACACTTCCTCTCCTCACAATCATTCGCTGTCTCTATATGTATTTGTTACTTTCCCTCTCTTCTCCTCTCTCGTTCTACTCTTCTCTCTCTCTCTCTCTCTCTCTGTCTGTCTGTCTGTCTGTCTCTCTCTCACACACACTCTTTCTAATCTCCTCTCCCCCTCTCTCTCTCTATCTTGTTATTCTCCTCTGTCTCTGTATCTCTCTATAGTATATATATATATATATATATATATATATATATGTCTCTCTCTCTCTCTCTCTCTCATTTTTAACATTCCTATTTGCCTCAAAGAACGTAAAATAACTCAATTACGTTTGATATTTAGAATAAATGTGCTTTTTATTGCTATCGGAAACATAATTTTGAGCAAAATGCGGAAGAGAATAAATTAACATGAAATCATCTTTTAAACAATAACAGGCACAATGCTCGCCGAAGAACATAATACAGAAGCTTAGTAGATATCTTATGTCAATAAATTAATTTAATAAGTATTCAGAATCTACTAATGATATCCTCAATATCGTTATCTTTATCATCTCCGACATCTTTGTCTGCATTACCACTATTGTCGACATCGTTACCTGTATCATCGGTGTCTATGTTATCAGTATCACCGCCATCCCGACCCTAAGCGCCTTCATTGTCTCTGCCACCATCACCATCGCCATCACCTCCGTCACCACCGTCACCAGTTTGACCACCATCAACGTCTTCTTTCCCGTTACCGCCGTCACCACCACCATTCCTCTGACTGCCTTGACCGTCATTTTCACCATCACCGTCGTCACCACCCTCACCACCGTCACCACCATTATCGTTGTCGAAACCATCACCACCTTCTTCCGCTTTACCGTCATCACCACCGTCGTCATCACCATCGTCTTCATCGCGACCACGTGGTACGGACACCGGTATGTAGATAGGCTTTTCAATCACTTTATACTGCACCTTGGGGGCTTGTGGGACCGGAACGGGAACGGGGACAGGGTATGGCTTTGGTGCAGGTACAGGGACCGGAAACGCGTGAGGAACGTAGATGGTTTCATGGTCGCTTGGAAAAGCTCCACCAACATTATAAGCTCCACCCATGTCATGCATGTGGGGACCTTTAGTACCAACTTGACTGGCAGAGCTGGACCCAGAGTCAGAGCCGGAGCTGTCCTCACCTTCGCATCCTGCTCCTATACCACTACAGCCACCAATACCAGCACCATCAGCGTTACCATAGCATCCATTACCACCATTTCCATTGATGCTATCACAGCCTCCTTCACCATCGCCATCTCCTCCATGATCACAGCCACCGCGGTCACATCCTAGCTTTCCTCCAGCTTCTACTCTACCGTTACCATAGTCACCATCACCACATCCTCCATTCTCTCCACAGTATCCATCATCCGTATGTCCGCCTCTGGCTCCTCCAACTTTTCCTCCAGCTCCAGCACCTTCTCCATCACCTCCTTCACATCCTCCTCCTTCGCACCCTCCGCATTCAACGCCATGGCATCCGTCCGATTCTTCGCTGCTGCTGCTCCTGCGATTACGCACCACTGAAAGAAATAAAGAAAGAAACAAAGGGAATGATAAATTGCTAAGAATACTTTTGAAGACTTACAAACTCAGCTGTAGAATTCAGACACAACGTTAACTAAAATAGAAATCAAAGTGCTTCGCAAATAACGAAAAATCTAGGTTTTCCTTTCCAACAACGTTTGGACCCATTTCTAAATTCTTTTTTTCTTCTGCTGGCTGATAATATTATATCATCCTTACTATTAAAACGGTTGTTAATTAAAGTTTCATGTAAGAGCTACATGTACGTCCTTTAGAAAATAGTTGAATTACAAATATTATTTGTCCTGTGTTATTTAATTCAGTCATCAGATTACTTCGTTCTAGCGTTACTTACCAGGACTAGCTAAAGTTAGTACTCCCAGCACAAGAAATGCAACAATCGCCAGCCAAACTCTAGCCATTGTGACTGCCAAGATAAAACAATTTCTTCCAATGTTTCAATTTTCCTTTTCTTTAGATTTTAGAACTCCTCATCTGTAGTCCGATGATGCTTTCGATGTGATATTTTGCCACTATCTTTGTACTTTTACTCTGAACTTTTACTTTGATTTTTTTATTCCTTCTACTATCTTGACTATGCTTGTGAGTCTTATTCTGTCTGGCTCTGATGCTTAAACAGTTTTGGAGTCTCCTATTTATATGTTTCTTGACATCTTTGGTTTCATTTTAATTCCGAACAATCTTCCGAACTCTAACCACTTCGACCACTTTATTGAATTGACTTGGGTATGGCTAACTATGAATATTATCTTTTGATTTTAACTATTTTTTTTAATGTAATTGCGATCATTAATTTGTTTTTGTCTCTTAATTAATCAATCTTACATGGATTCAATCACGTATTTCAAAATATGTTTAGTAATCTATATTTTTAAAAGGGTTTTACACTTCTTCATAGAATATATGATTATTTATGAGACGACAACAGCAAAAAAGCAGTACGTTTTGACCGTGAACCACATTGATAAACTTAATTTTTGTTCCAGTTCAGACTGACGATAAATCTTATCAATATTTCAGCTCAAGACGATTCGTATAAAGTTTATTGAAAAGGGCGTACCCCAGTCGCATATTAATCGTTCTTAATCCTCTTTCCGCTTCTGTGGATTCTCGTAAGAAATGATCATACTGATTTAAGATCATGTCCAGTGTAAACTTATTCAAAACTATGGGAGGAGCACATTCCTTTTGATTTATCTGAACATTTCATTAGAATTTTTTATATGCTCTCTGAAAACGATTTTGAAAGGTCTTTATTTTTTCTAGTCAGATTTTTTTGTTTTTTTCTATGGTTTCATTTGTTTTGCTTATTTATTTATTCGTTTATTTATTTGTATTTCTTTAATTTGTTAATTTATTTAATTATATGTTTATTATTATTTTATTTTTTTTCATCCAGAGTGGCCTACTCAGTGATTTTGACACTTTTATTCTTTAGGGCCCTGTACACATAAACACATTAAATGTAACATGATACATAATACTTTCATATATCAGTATGTGTAGTTTTAGCCGCATTTATTTGTATTCAATCTCCGGTAGAGTGTTGAAAATGCTTCTTCGGAGAAATCGATTTTTATTACAGTTTTATAGAATAGAAACATATATTCGCGAAATGTATATTATATGCAGGGGTCGAGCTTTTCATTTAGTCATATGTTTGATCTTGCCTCTCTCATTGTCGAGTGCTGATCTAGTCGAAGGCTTTTAATTCTTGAAGCTGGTGATTCAAGACGGAGACATACATGTAGACATACAGCTAACGAGACCGACAGTGTAAGAGGCCGACGACCCACGATCTCGGTCTCGTGAACATTCGCATGTTTTCGATTGTGTAGGCCGTTGGTTCAACGTATTCAAATATAAAATTTGACAGGAGGCTCGTGAGACTGACACGGTAATGTTTTGTTGACTGTTTGTCTCAAGAACTGTAGTCATTTAGATACAGAAACTGCCAAGATCCTGTAACCATTGACCGTCAGTTGCCATAATGCAAAGTCACGCTGAATGTTCATATCTTTATCATTGTTATCTTCAATAGATTGCTAGATTTATTTTTGATCTTGTGTACCTGTATAAATATGAATAAATAAATAAATAAATAGATACATATATAGAATATTCGACAAGGCATTTTAGCTTCGCTATATACATGGATATGTCGTTACAAACAAGTAAATAAGTTCATCAGTTTAATATAGAAGAGCCAAGAAGCAACTATCATTTTGTTTAATATATATATGGGAAGATATATAATCTAAGCAGGAAAGAATATAGGTGACCTAAACATGTATAAATACATTTACGTGCAATACTCACGGTATTATTCATAAAGTAATTTGTTTCGTTTTATATTGATGTACTACCCGCCAAAGCACTAATCCGAGAAGTTTAATAGACATACTTATCCTTGATTTCTTTTTATTGGCCGTTATATCGTCAACAGGGGACATTCAACTGAGAACACAAGAGGTATAAATCTTTGTATTTATATCATTGACAGGTTTCAGATTAATTTCGTCTGTTTTCTGCAATAGCTCCTTCTTATATCTTCATAATTCAAAATAATATTATTTACAAAAGAATTATTTTATAGCTCGGGAACATTTATATAACGAATTTATTGACACACTAAAATGTCGTTCAGTCATCTCTTCTAGATTATAAACAGTTGCGCAATTTTTGAATGAAAGACGTTGACAAATCATAAACACCACCTAATAAACACCTCCTGAAATGAAAATAACATTTTTAAAGAGGATAAAGTGCATGAGCATGCAGGAATGAATTCTTGGTTTGTATGCTTTCTTCATATGTATTGATGCCATAATTGTATCAGTACATTCAATCGTAAGGAACCAGGCGTAATTGAAAAGAAAGCAGCCAAGCGAAAGAATGACAATTTGTATAGGCTTGTAAATACCTGATTATACTTCCTAAGTACAAAGATTTGTCTATCAAAATGTTAAAAGTATATATCCCCAACATTACTATGTGTTATGTCTATTAAGAGCTAGAAGGGAGTTAATTCGTTCTGTACGATACAGAGTTAACGCCCTTCTTGCTCTCAACAAAATATGGACTATCCCTTAATGACCGGGAAAGCGAAAAGCAGATTATGTTACGCTGATCGAGCTTATATCCTTTAATTCGTTAAGTTCCTCGCTATAAATGGGATGTTGTGATATAGCTAATTAAATAAATCCTATTCTTTAACCCTAATCCAACATGGCATAAATATATTAATGCCTGGACATGATCCGTCTAGTCTGGGCTTCTCTTGCTCGTTTTGTTTTATTTTGTTTATATAGATTAAGATGTATTTGAAGAGAACACGTAAATTTCCTGGATTATAATGTATTCTTAGGATTTGAGTTTTAGATTTTCCATCTCGTAGGTGCTTGCTAGTCGATCGTTTCCTAAATCTGTCTTTTCATTGCTTGATCTAGTCTAATTAGTTGTATTAAAACGACCAGTCGACTGTAAACCATATAAATATAGGTCTGAAACATGGTTGGACATCAGTCTCCTTTCACCAGCTGAACACTGAACTACATCTGAAAAGAGCCATACACCAAAGAGAAAGCAGAAGCACCCCTAAAACGTCTATCAGTGCTAGGAAACTCATTTAGTTAGTAGAAAATCAGAATACTTTCTCTACATAGATTCTATCATCTAGTGAGACAAAATGACTCGATCTTGGCTGACTCTGGCTGTGTTACTTTTGCTCACAACACTTGTACTTGCAGCTCCAAGTAAGTGATATCATGCTTACCGTTTTTTAGTTTTCATCCCTTTAGTTTGTTATTATTATCATGGTTCTGAATGAATATTAATTGTTTTTGTTACACTTTGTGCATGAAATTTTAAAACTGGGTTGTATACATTTCAACTGCATGTACATTCTTCTGTACACGAATAAGGTTAACGTCACGTTTAATTTAAACTACATTTTGTTTTCTTACAGAGGAACGTATTCGACGTAGCAGCGGAGAAGGCGGCGACTGTGGAGGCGGAGGATGCGGAGGGTGTGGTTGGGGAGGATGTGATGGCGGTGATGGTGGTGATGGAGGCGATGGTGGAAATGGTGGTGGAAGCGGAGGTGGCGGAGATGGCGGAGATTGTGGAGGTGACGGAGGGTGTGATGGTGGTGATGGTGGAGATGGTGGTGACGGTGGTGACGGTGGCTGCGGCGGTGACGGTGGGGATGGTTGTGGGGATGGAGATAGCTCAGGTTCTAGCTCTGGTTATGATAGCAGTAGCGAGGAAGACTGCGGTGGAGCCTGTGGTGGCGGTGGTGGTGGCGGCTTTCAAGCTTTTCACGCTCCAGAAATTGTCCCAGTTCAAGCCCCAGTTGCAGCCCCAGAGCCTTATCCTGTTCATGTCCCTATGCCACATGCACCAGAAGTCCACTATGAAGTTATCGAGAAGCCGGTCTATGTACATGTACCAATGGCTGCACCTGCACCAGACAGTGGAGACGAGGACACTGATGGTGAAGATGGCGGTGATGGCGGTGATGGCGGTGACGATGGTGCCGGGGGAGATGGGGGTGATGATGCTGGTGCTGGTGGTGGTGGTGGTGCTGCTGCTGCTGCTGAAGGTGGTGCCAGTGCTGGTGCTGGTGCTGGTGGTGCTGGTGGTGCTGGTGCTGCTGAAGGAGGTGTCAGTGGGGATGGCGATGCTGGTGCTGCTGCTGGTGCTGGTGCTGCTGGTGCTGCTGGTGCTGCTGAAGGTGGTGCCAGTGGGGATGGCGATGCCGGCGATGATGTTGGTGATGGTGGTGCTGATGGCGGTGATGGTGGTGCCGCTGGTGATGCTGGTGGTGCCAGTGGGGATGGCGATGCCGGTGGTGATGTTGGTGATGGTGGTGCTGATGGCGGTGATGGTGGTGCCGCTGGTGATACTGGTGGTGCCAGTGGGGATGGCGATGCCGGTGGTGATGGTGGCGATGCGGGTGGTGATGGAGATGATGGTGGAGCTGATGGTGGTGATGGTGGTGATGGTGAAGGCGAAGGTGGTGACAGTGGTACTGATGGAGGCGATGAAGGTGATGGTGGTGACTGTGGTGGCCTCAAGGCTGGTGATCCCGCATGCCTTGGTTCCAAAGATGTATGCTGCCAATGATGTGGCTTTATATGGTACGTTTTCATTATGTTCATATCAAAGTTTCACCCACGTGTTAACATGAATTTTGTAATCTTCGAGATTAGTGCATGTTTTGTATGAATGTAGACAAAAGAACATTCATAGGTAACTACAAACTAGATGAGGAAATAGTCAGAAGAACGACATATTTACATGTCAATGAATAATTCTAAGAAAACCTTTAGTCTTCCCTTGATTAATTACCTACATGTATGGACCGACGTTAGTTAACTCGTGTATTTAATAGAATAAGGACGATTATGTCTTTAATCAAAGCAATTAATTAACGACACATTATACATCAATCATCTTTGAATATGTTTTTAGACAGAGAATGAGTGAATTGCAAATTTAATCCATAATATCGTACTTATTACACCCCCTATGTATCAATTACATGTATGACTGTCCTGTGAACTGCAGCAAACCCTGCTATTAAAAACCGCTATTTCCTTTCTTTCTTTTCTTCCTCAACAGAATTATCCTTCTCGATGAACATGACGAAGTGTAGGCATATATGACGTCAGATTATCGTGCTGGCTGATAAATTGCACTGTGATGTGAAGGATTAATGAATCGATATCAATATTTGTGTTTCTTTTAATCATAATATTTATTTAAAATTCGTTCTTTCTATTTATAGATTAATTGTGTGTGAATTTGTGATGCGCCTTTTCATGATTCTAGTGATTCTAATAATATATATATATATATATGACTAAATCCAATTACTTATTAAAATCATATATTCATAATTAGTTCTTACCTGACCACGATTGAGTGTACAAAAGTAATATTTTTCTTTAATTTAAAATTGTTTAATTATGAATTAATACGCAATATTTTTCTACTGTATTTCCAAATGAAAAAAGACGAATATTTGTTTCCTACTTAAATATTCTTCTTTTAAAAATTATGCTCATTTCGAATTTATTTATAAGTCGTTTTTTTTTTTTGCTTTTTGCTTTTTGCTTGCTTGTTGTTTGTTGTTTGTTTTCTATTTTCTTTGTATCCATCCGTTTTAAACATGCTAAATGTCATCCTGTTAAGGAATAACATAACCTTCTGAATTGCTCGTAATGTGTTAAATGTACTTTATCATTTCAATCTGTTTATATTCGTTTGCCAACTACGTTGAAAATGACAATAAAAAAGTCTTTTATTTGAAATACAGTTGTGTTTGTCTGTTTCCTTGAATCGTGATATTTCTGAACATACTTAATACCACGTAAAGTATTTTTTAGTTGACAGACACGATTTGGTGTGCTGTTTCCAACTTTAGTTGGTGAATACCCAAATTCAAAACTGCTATTGGTCCAATTTCTCATATGTACAGTGTTATGAAGTTTAGTAGTCGACTTGTGTATAAGTAAAGTGAAAGAGATAATAAAAGAGTGAGAAAGCAAAGAAATGAGCGAAATACGGAGACTGCTTGAGAAGAATTAGAGAAATGGAGCGAAATAAAAACGAGAAAAGTAAAATGTTGATCAATATACCTCCCCCCTCCCCCTCCCCCCCCCCCACAACCACCACTACCGCCTCATTGTCTATCCCTCTCTTATAGTATCCCTTTATATATCCCTTGTAAGTAAAACATTCAAGATTTCAAGATTTCAAATTTATTCATGTTTCCAATAAAACATTACAAATCAATTATAAGCATTTAAAACAAATTTAAGAAGTACATGTTGAAAACAGAGGGTCCACTAAAAAACAATGCTTGTACAAGTGTGAACACCTCAAATGAAACTTAGGAATAATGAATAATTAAATTAACTAATCTGTAACTACAAAAAAAACAACTACAAAATAGGGGGAGGGGGAATGCCAACAGAGACGAGAAAGGGACAAGACAATACTATACACGACAAAGATAGAAGAACACGGTCATAATACAAAGAGTAGACAATGACAAAAAGAAGTGAGAGATCGAGGGTACAGAAAATAATACTAAAAGATGAGCTGCATGTGGGGTTGAGAAGAAGATAAGGAAAGAGAAATGCGCGTTAGAAAGGAAATAAGCATGAGAAGGAACAATATAATATATCAAATTACATCTTGAGTCAATGTGTTCAGCCAAATCGTATTGTCCCTTCACGATAAATAATAACAATGATTATGATTAATATTATATTATAAAATAACACACCCCCCCCCCTCTCTATCTCTCTCTCTCCCTCTCACTCTCTATCTCTCTCGCTGAAAAATCATTCATAAAAAGTATCAATTTATGTTCAGTATTTCTAACTTTCCACTCAACATCTCTGCATCTTAGCCGATACATTGTATGTCTCTTTTTATAGAATACTTTTGTTTTTCCTCATTCTTGCTTTAGGCTGATTCATGTTATGGATGTTATCCTTTAATAATAAATCCATGTCCGCAAGATTATGAAAGTCGTCGGGGTGAGGGATTATGATTATAATCATCAACCCATCATACTTGTTCATCGAGCAAATGTCATTCATCACATTGTACACGCAGCGGAGACTTCCGGTCTCTTGTCGACATCTGGCTGTAATATCAGACTGGACAAATTAATGACTGAATAGTTATTAAATCTTCTTCTTTTTTTTCTTCTTCTAATTGACCAAAAAAACTATGAAAAAAGTTAAAATATAAATTATATAGTTAGCATTCACAAGTAAATTTTGAGCTGTACGTGAGTTTTGAAATCAATCGCTGGCTACTAGTGACAAAGTTATTTTGGACTGCATGTAGATCATATACAGCACCTTCCAGCTCTCTATTGCTGTCTTTCTCTCTCTCTCTCTCTCTCTCTCTCTCTCTCTCTCTCTCTCTCTCTAACTCTCTCTCTCTCCCTCTCTCTCTCTCTCTCTAACTCTCTCTCTCTCTCTCTAACTCTCTCTCTCTCTCTCTCTCGCTCTCTTTCTCATTGTTTTTCTTTCTGTATTAGTCCCCCTTCTTCCTGTACATGTGTCTGTCATGCTACTCTTATTTTGTATTCCTCTATAAGTATTCACATATCGCTCTCAAATGGAGGTTTCCTTTCGCATTTTTCTCGATATGTCTGTCATTTACATTTGTTTTTCTCTCTTCTCGACCATGAGCACTATCTCCCTCACTATCATAACCATTCACTTGAGATTTGAATGTAGCTCAATCGATAATTCGGACTGCAATCACAAACTTTCACCGTCAAAGTATGACAAAAAGACGAGTACTAAAAAGTATACACTTTCCAACGAATATATTTTTCAAATAAAAATAATCAATGAAATAATAAATAAATAATTGAATAAAGTACCATTGTTAAACATATTAATAAATATTGATGAATGATAATAAAATTATAAATGTAAGGTGAACAACATATCAGGAAACTCGAGAGAAAGATATCCTTGACTGTGCAAAAAGTATGTCTTTAAAAATTTCATTCGCAACAAGAAATAAATATCACTTTCAAAAGAACTACGATATAAACGAAACATATTGTTCCACTTCTCAGCATACAAAAAGGTCACTGCTTCCATTCACCACTCCGTGTCATAGCATAATTATTTTTGTTTTCTGTACTGCGTGTAAAATCGATGAGGTCTTTTCGAGGAGGACTAATTTTGGGAATCACCTCTGCTGCCATCAACGTTGGATGTTGAGATGAGGCTACGATCCACCGCTGGCCTCTTCGTGTCTAGATTTGTTGCGGTCGCATTAGAAGGCTTCCTGCATATATATTAGATAGAATGAAACATACTAGTAGGTTAAAAATTAACAATGATTCACTTCAAAATAAAATTCGCCGATTGAATAAATGGAAAGTATACAAAGATATCACTCTCAAATCTTTTTCATTTGAATATAACATTGTCTTATGTTGTGACGAATTATCAGATTATAAATACGAAATGCTCTCTCTGTTTATTTAATATAATTACATCTCATTAGTATGTATGCATTTCAAATCATTAATTTCAATACATACCGGCACAGTTCCCATCGCTGACATATTTGAGGGTGTTGTCTTTTGTCTTGCATGCCGAGCTTCTAAGCTCACAAAGATTGCTAAAGCTGGTGCCATCAGACCCACAGACGGATTGAGTTCGAGAGATGAACGATGGGCAGGTAGAACAAACCGAACCAAGAAGACCGCCTAGTAATAATTTGAAAAGAGACGAATAAAAAAAACACTAAATAATAATTTGTGTATTATATTTCCACAATTACGCTCATTACCAAAGTTAAAAGAAAACAAATTAGTGAAATAGTGAACGACTATGATATTGATTTGTTCATTTGAATAGTTGTATCCCCTTTCGGCATGTTTAAGAATTATGACCGATTTTCAAAGATATTCTTGGATTTTGCACATTTTCATGTTATCATTATATAAGCATAGCTTCTGTTCCTGATAATTAATCAAAAGTGAAATAACTTGGATAAGAATAATGTTTTATGAGACGACGCCTGTAACTTTTTGATGTTACTACGGAACACAAGGTGTGTTTTTAGTACCCTGTTGGGTTAAATGCGTGAAGAACAAACTTACCCGGTCTATCTTCAAGAGTAGGGGCTTCGTTAAGTCCATCACATCCAGCATCCCCACCATCGGCACCACAGCCTCCTCCGACATCGCAGACACCATTACCGCCATCGGCACCACAGCCTCCTCCGTCGCCTCCGTCACCTCCGTCACCTCCGTCGCCTCCATCATCATCATCATTACCACCATCATTATCATCTCCTCCATCGTCATCATCTCCACCATCTCCATCGTCACCGTCATCCCCACCATCACCACCATCACCGTCATCACCACCGCCGTCACCGCCGTCACCGCCATCACCGTCATCACCACCATCGCCACCATCGCCATCATCGCCACCATCGCCACCATCGCCACCATCTCCATCATCTCCACCATCACCATCAGCATCTGCATCATCATCGTCATCGTCGCTATCATCAACTGCTGGTGCTGGCATGTAAATAGGTATTTCTATAATTTCATAGTGGATCTCAGGAGCTTGAACTTGTACATTTCCACCACCACCGCCTCTACCTCCTCCTCTTCCTCCTCCTCCTCTTCCTCCTCCTCCACCTCCATCACCACCTCCTCCTCCACCACCATCACCGCCATCACCGCCATCGCCGCCATCGCCGCCATCACCGCCATCACCTCCATCACCACTGTCTTCTTCGCTGCTACTGCTACTGCTGTCTGAGCTCCCCCCATCTCCACAATCTCCTCCATCACCACCATCACCACCATCGCCACCACAATCACCATCACCACCACCACCACCATCGCAGCCACCGTCACATCCGCCGTCTCCACCATCGCCACCATCCCCGCAATCGCCACCACCATCACCGCCATCGCATCCACCATCTCCAGCATTGCCACAGCTGCCGCCTTCGCATCCTCCGTCTCCTCCCCCATCTCCACCGCAGTCTCCGCCGCAATCTCCATCTCCACCATCCCCACCATCCCCGCAGCCACCACCATCGCAACCACCACCATCACCCCCGCCATCTCCACCTCCTCCATCACAACCCCCATCACCACCACCATCGCAACCACCATCTCCACCCCCGTCTCCACCACAATCTCCACCGCAGTCTCCACCGCCGTCGCCACCCGTATCCGCTTCTTCGCTGCTGCTTCGGCGATTACGTTCAGCTTTTTAAAACGTCATGAAAAGGGAGAAATAAAAAAAAAAGAAGATAAGATTCGATTAAGGTATTCAACCCATTATCATTTACAAATTTGGGTCTTTTGTAGACAGAGTTTGATTTTAAAAAAAAACTTTCATTAGGGATTATGCAAACCGCATTCATACAGTACCTCTTGCCGTTCTGGTCAATAAAAACCTCACAGAAATACTTAAATATCATTTATTATAAAGTAATTTATTTCGATATTCTTCTGCAGTCTATTTAATATCTTGAATAGTATCTATCTTGATCTGTGGAACCTTTGAGAAACAGGAGTTTACTTACGTGGTGCAGAGGCAACAATGACTGCAAGACATAATATGGCGGCTATAAATAGCCCGAGTCGCCCCATGGTCATGATGGTGCTTGCTTTTGTTCTGAAATTAATGAGAAATTATATTAGGGAAAATTACATAGAAAAAATGGAATGTCTGCTTGATGTACAAGAAGTAATGTAATTCTGCAATAGACAACAGGGTGGGAAACAAATCATTCGGAGAAAAAAATATATGAATGGAATCGACCAATATCCTACATGTACTTTCTTTTAAAACTCTCAGACCTTATCAAATTCGAGCTAACAAATTGCCTGAATACTCTTCAATTGTCGTGAATTACATATTGTATCCATTAGTGGGTTTTTTAATCCACAATGTTCAGGATGTTGTAATGTGATATCTATAATTATACATGTTTTTAAAAAAAGTATTTCAAAGACAGTATCTTCAATTCAACAACAATAGTCCCTGCTAATTTTCAATCCGTGGATCTCAAATGCCCTCATTAAACTTGACACTGCAATATTCCTTAATAAGCTGTGATTCCATTTATAAATAAAGTTCATGACTGTTCAAATGTTAAAATGCAGTTGTACTTACTTTTCCACTACGATTTACAGCCTTCTTTTTGTCTTGCTCTTTGTTGTCCTGAGAGAGCAACTCGACTGATGAGTATTGAGTGCCAACTTCCCATATTTATACTTTTTCCAAATTAATTTGCTATTTATCGTTTTCAACAATATATTCTACATCACACATTATAATAAAGTTATTTCCTTCTTCGATTGATTCATGGATTAAATAAAGAAAATCTACTATCAATTTCTATAACAATTGAATGAGATTAATGTTGTACGAAAGAGAGCCGATTATAAATACGTAATCGCTTTGGATGTCTTGATGTAAAAGCTTTATTATTTGCCAACTAATGTAAAATGTAAGACGCAATGAAAGTATGTGTCTTAATCTAAATCGTTATATCCGCATGGATTAAAAATGACCGGTTCTACACCCAGGTCAGTTCAATTAATGCAATTTGATGGTTAACTTTTTTTACTTTCTTTACAACAGGATGTTCGTAACATTTTCTCCCGCGATGTGTAGTGATAATCATTGAACATTAATTGATATAAAATTATGTTGCATGTATATTTTGATACATTATTAGAAATGGGCGTGGTTACGCTCTGTAAGAATCTCCTTGTTAATGTGTCTTTTTATAAAGATTAGAAGCAGGTGTTTGTGTCAATAATCAGTCTTCGTGATTAGCTATGATTTAAGGATGGGCAGTTTGGCTTTAGATCCTCCGCCCCTCCCCTTGCCCCCCCCCCCACCCCCACCCACTTTCCTTCTCTTTCTCTCTTTCTTTATCTCATTCTCTCTCTCTCTCTCTCTCATTTTTTTTCTCTCTCTCTCTCTCTCTCTCTCTCTCTATATATATATATATATATTCATATTATATATATATTTTCATTAAGAGATAATGACTAGGTTTATTCCATTTGTTTATTGTTTTCAAAATCAATCGCATAAATTCATATTCACTAAGCACACAATGAAGCACATTCCACCATCCTAACGAACAATGTTCACATCAAAAAACGCATGTGTGACAACAAACTATAATCATTTTGATCGTTTTGTAAAATAACTGAAATATGATCGCCGTGGGCGTGGCGTAGCGGGGCTGATTCCAGAGATAGCCTGGACACTAGCAATTTAAAGTGTCCGGAAGTAAGCATTAAACATTTACTCTGGGCTTCATTTTATTGCGAACAAGAGCATAACGCTGATAACGCTATAAACACTATAAAGCCAGTAACTCAATTTTTACAAATAATTTCCGTTTTGTAATGAAGTAATGAAAGTATGCAATTAAATCGGACATAAACGATGTTTATACAATATTACAAACCGCTTCATGATATTTGTCCCGTTAATGATAATAGTAAATAATCATAAAACTCGGTCTTATTTACTGAGGGTAGCAACATCAGTTGCACTGCTCATCATGTGGGTCGAACATTGCCAGGAACCCATTTAACACACCTAGGTCGAGAGGGACCTTGTCCAAGGGTGTAAGCGAAGAGCAAGGATCGGATCCGGGACCTCTCGTACGAGAGGCAAGAGCCGTCACCACTTAGCGCCCATCCAATTATAAATCATAAAATAACAACATTCTGTAAGCTGCGACTATCATGATAAGAAACACAAACGAGAAAAGAAGAAAATCTATAGTTTCCTGATTTCCTTACTCTGCCTCTTTCGCCCCGTTGTCGTTCTCTTTATTTATTTCTCACTTTGCTGTATTCGTACTCTTCCGAACATTAATTGTTTTCTCGATAAATATAAACTCACACAACCACCCTCTCTCCCTCTTTCTCTGTCGTTCTGTCTTCCTATCTATAAATCTCTCGCTCTCTCTCTCTCTCTCTCTTGTTTTGTCTTTTATGTCTCACACACTCATTCTCTTCTTGTATTTCTCTCTCGACCCTGTCCTCCGTTTCCTTACCTTCACGGTTTCACATCATGTTCATTCCTAGCTTGAGATGCCTTTCCTACTCTTGTAACCATCTTGACACATTCAACTGTTTTTTCTTTATACTAAATGAGCCTTATTTAATTTCGCCAAATTCATACTTTAACCCAAAGAAATTACGTACAAAACTCGAAATTGGATTAAAAGCACTTTATTCCAAATAACGATGGATACATTGATAAAATAGGATAATATAAATAACCTTACACATTTCAAGCAATACCAACGGAGTAACAGGCATAATAGGTTTAAACATTAATAAATAAATCAGGAAATACTCATCCATTGAGAGGGGAAAAAACGTAATAAATAAATAAATATAGCATTCTGTGTTACCAAGATATAAATACCAGAACCAAAGGGGATGGTTAATTGAAATTAACATGAGATTTTGCGGGCGACCTTCTATTTATATTGCAAGGAATTTATAATAAATTCCTGATAAAGATATGAATTTTGTCACTAGTAACACATAATAGGTCAACAGAAAAAGCAAAAATAGGCTAAAATATGAGATAAATCGGGCATTCGAAAATTAATTGCAGCTATTAATTTTCTTAAAGGACGAAAATTGTTAATAAAGGTACGAAGCCCGGGAACTCTTTAGATCCTGCTTGGAGAGGGAGTCTTCATTGCGACCCCTTGGAATCTCTCAGAAATCCGGTGACCGTAAGATAAGGTTACCTGTGTACAGAAGGAGAAAAAAACGATTATGAGAAGGAATATTTTGAACTCACATTTGAAGATCATTCTTGAAATCACCGCCAATAAAAATCATTCCAACACATATATTGTTAGAATTTTAAGAAGATAGTCATTATGTTAAGAAGGTCAGTGAATTGTGTTACTTACTTTCTCGGTGTCTTTCACTATCTCTCTCTCTCTCTCTCTCTCTCTTCTCACTTTCTCTCCCTTTCTAACTTTACTTATTTGTTATAATACTTTCTCTCTCTCGTTTCAATCTTTCTTATTTTCGCTTCTACTAACAGTTAAATTATAGATCATCGCTATCGTTTCTTTTCACCCCCCCCCCCCCCCAAAAAAAAAAAAAAAAAAATTGTTAATAGCGATGTATGCATACCATGCTGACTGATACAGCTACCCTCGCTAGCAACCTTCAGTGTGTTGTCTCCTCTCCTGCACGATGATTCTCTGAGCTCACACAGATTGCTATAGGTGGTACCATCGGACCCACAGACGGGTTGAGTACGGGAGATGAACGCAGGGCAGGGAGAACAGCTCAAACCGAGGTTTCCACCCGACATGATATCTTTGATAATGCAAATTGTAAGAGGAATAATTGGTAAACAGTATTTTGTTATTTTTACTCCATAAATTCCGTCGAGATAAATGACGCAGACTGGAAGATGATTTTTTTCAGAAGAATTACACATGTTTTGCTTACTGTCGAACGGGTTCCGATAATTACTTTGAGTGTTCGGTTCAATTTAATTCAATGTAAAGGCTTACAAATTTGATAGTATCGCTATGGATGAGTAAATTTATATTTATTCTATAAATCATGTCGTCACTTCGTACAACATATAATGGTAATGATGATGAAATACATTAGACGTACCTTGTCCGTCACTGTTAACTGCATTAAGTCCTCCGCATCCAACATTACCGCCATCGGCCCCGCAATCACCTCCATCACCACCGTCACCACCATCATCATCACCACCATCATCATCTCCACCGCCATCATCATCTCCACCGTTACCATCATCATCTCCACCATCATCATCTCCACCATCATCATCACCACCGTCATCATCACCTTCCTCTTCATCACCACCGTCGTCATCATCTTCATCATCAGCGGGGACAGGAACCGGGATGTAAACAGGCTTTTCGATTACTTCGTAGTGGATTTCCGGAGCCTGAGCTACAGATATGGTTTCAATTTCACCACCACCATCGCCACCGCCATCACCACCACCATCGCCCCCATCGCCACCGCAGTCTCCCCCGTCAGGTCCATCACAGTCTCCCTCATCTTCTTCGCTGGATGAGGATGAGGATGAGTCAGAGTCAGAGTCGGAGTCGGAGTCAGAGTCGGAGTCGGAATCGGAATCGGAATTTGAACTGTCCTCACAACCACCGCAATCGCCATCACCTCCGTCGCAATCACAGTCAGCATCACCACCGTCGCCGCAGTCGCCGCCATCACCGCCATCACATCCACCATCGCCCCCATCACCACCATCGCCTCCATCCCCACAATCACCGCCGTCACCTCCATCACAACCACCATCACCACCATCGCCGCCGCCATCTCCCCCATCCCCACAATTCCCGCCATCACATCCCCCATCTCCCCCATCTCCCCCATCACCACCATCACCACCACAATCGCCACCACAATCCCCATCCCCACCGCCATCACCACCATCCCCACCATCTCCGCAGCCACCACCATCGCAACCACCATCACCACCATCCCCACCATCTCCGCAGTCACCACCATCGCAACCTCCATCACCCCCATCTCCACAATCGCCACCATCACCGCCGTCACCATCGCAACCACCGTCTCCTCCATCACCGCAATCAGCATCGCAGTCTCCTCCGTCACACCCACCACACCCATCTGACTCCTCACTGCTGCTGCTGCTGCTACTCCTTCGAGTTCTTTCCGCTGCAATTAAAGAGGTACTGACAGTTAAACAAAAACTTGAAGTAAATTCTTCGAAATGACAACGACTAAATCCACTTTTGTTTAGGTCAGATTAACTATTCGTTTTCAAACTTAACATCATCTACTTATTTCTTATGAAGGATTTTTGATGATGATAGGCGGTCTAAGTGAAACCCTCGAAAGAATACACAAAGTAATTATGTTTGTATTTCAGTTCTGTGAAATATAATTGCGTAATGATGTTAGTATTTTCCATTTGTGATCCTTCGATCGCAATTAAAGACATGAAAAGAGGCACATACATGTAGGCAATCTTATTATTTTCTATAAAATAAACAAAAATATCAAGTATGGTAACCACGGTTTGACTCACCTGGTGGTGCAGAAGACGCAAATGCCGCCATCAACAAAATGGCGGCAAGGAAAAGCCACAGTTTGCTCATTTTCTCGAACTTAATCTGTAAGACATGTTAGAAAATAAGAAATGTCGAATAAACACATCAATTTTTTAAATCATTCGTGTATGGTCAATAACATATGCATGCATGCTCTTCAGTGGTTGATTATGATTCTTGCAATCACCAAAATCACAGTAATTTAAATATGTGAATTGTGACTTTTCATGTCAGAGCCACTATTATCAATTCAAAATAAAGCTTAAAATACACCCCCAAAAACAATTTACCAGGAAAAAATGGCATTTACCCCCATTTTATTTCTTGTAAAGTTTACAGTATAATCATGCGCATGCATAAAGAAAGAAAGCAATGAAATGGAGAGAATTTTGTCTGAAAGATATCATAGCTCTGCAAGCAAAAGTCTTGTGACATGGAGGTCTTGAGTTCGAAACAAGTCCCAAAGACCTGACCTGAACTACAAATAAACCCTGGATTCCTCTATATGCAACCATGAAGTTTCGTATATAGCTCCCAGGTGAGTTAAATAAGCAATTTATTTCGCAATTTAGACCTTACCTTTTCTTAGCTCCTGGAGATGTGATGACTTGACTCTTGTTAGTTTGCTGGAAACTCAACTGATGTCAGTGTACAACAATCAACCCGTATTTATACGTTTGGTGAATAATATTTTATATTGATGATAATCACTTAAATATGATAATACATGTATATATTTTTGTTTAATGCAAGCAGTTATGATATAATTTATACTATACTTAGATGATTCACCTAATCGTCTTTTCAATCCTTTCTTCCTAATTTATTGTTAATATTTTAATTGGGATTAGCTTATCCCAAACAAAACTATTAGGAAAAGTATGTATATTATGTGTAGATCTATATGGTTATATGTCATTACCAAAATACCATTTAATGTCTTATAATTATTATGCAGGTCAGAAAATATCCGATACTTTTCACCTCCTTTACATCAAATAGTATGGATTTAATTGGAGCGATTACCAAGTCCTGGTAATCCCATTGAGTGAATCTACATTTCCTTTTCATGTTAATTTAACAGTCTTAAGGCTTAATCCATACACTGGGATTAATTTTTAGTAGGCCTATTCGTCTTCTGTTCGTGAGATAAGAACTAAGAAGTCATAATCCATTTGTTGCTATCACAATAGGCGGACCTCTGTCCGTCGTAATTCAGCAGTTCCTCTTAATAATTCATAGAAAGTTTAGATATTATTCTTTACGCTGTTTTTATATTGAATAAAATATAAACATATATATGCATATAACAAATAAAATATAAATAAAATATAGATATAATATATATTTATTTATGACAAATAGTTTATAAACCCCGGGTGTAACCTGAATTTTAGCACATATTACCCTCCTAACATGTACTCCAAGTGTTGGTACGAGCTGACCGATGTGGTACTTTTTACACAATTTTTTTTTGCATAATTATATTCTTTCTGTCTATTGAAGAATTCATTTTTGTTAATTATCAACGGGTATTAACAACATAACCATCCAGATACAAAGAGTGGAATTAAGGAAAGAGGCACCCTTATCGAATCAAGTGTCGAAAATCCATTCTTATGTGTGTGTTAAAGTGACCCGGTAACATTGTTGAAGGTTGATGCAAAAACTGCGAGATTTTTGCATGAAATTTTACTTATTTTATTCCTTCTCCTGTACTGACCCTCTAACATACAAACAATCCTGAACAAACTTCTCAAACCACAAAGATATTTATGGTTTTCTTTGAATTTTAAAATTCTGTCAATACACAAATGTCTGGAATGGTGTATGCAGTGGCGTACGCAGGATTTTTTTCAAGGGAGGGGGGGGGGGTAACATTAAATCGGGCCAAAAAATTCGCAACGACTCAGCCAGCCGCTGAATAAGCGGGGGGTAAGAGAACATTTTTTTTTTGTCCCGAAATTTGAAAAATTGACCGATCGACATTCCGTTTCGTTTCGTTTTTTTTTTTTTTTTTTTTTTTTTTTTTTTTGGGGGGGGGGGGGGGGGGGCATCTTTTTTTAGGTCGTCCATTAGGATTAAAACAAAAATAAACATACACATAACAAAAACTGAAGGGGGTTAACCCCCCCCCCCCCCCCCCCCTGCGTACGCGTCTGGGTATATGCATTGGTTTGTTACAATTATCATTCACCTAAATTGCAATTAAATTGTAATAGTAAAGTTGGGAGAATTAAGGAATCGATCAGATCAGTTTTTCACAATTTGTATCGTTAATAATGGTCTGTTTTCACTCAAACTGTCAGATTATATTTGATTTTTAATCGAGCATTAAAGTCACTACCTTAGCACCATCTTAGCACTATCTGAACAATGTTACCAAGTCCCTTTAAGGTATCAGATCTGTTTTTAAAGTGGAGATAGAGCACATCGAAAATATTGATGATGTCAGCAGAAGCTTCAGCTAGCGGGAGAAACGTTTGCCTGTCATATGAAACAGAATGTATGTACTATTTTTTCGTTCGTTTGTTTTTTGTTATAAAAATGAAGAGGAACTCCTCTCTTTTACTTCTGTATCTAGGGCTGTTGCAGAGTCTGGAGATGAATAGTATTGTTATATTATGTGTTAATAGCATATATATATTTCATGAACAGAGGCTTTCCGGAGATTGGCAAATTGCATGCACGTAAACAAACAGTTTTCATTGGCCTTATACTCGGCCGATACAGCACTTTAAATAAACACTAATGATATCACAATGGAGAGCTTTTTAGCATCTTCGAAAGATATTATTTGATAATTCATAGACATGGTTGAGTGATTTGAAAGTCACTCTAAAAGAATATTTCATGTGAGATGTTTGTGTGTGTTTAAGGGATAACGGGAAAAAAAATTGCCATCACGCCCATCATAATTTCAAATACCATATAATCAATATATATTTTTTTCTATCTCTTAGTTTGTAGTTAGGCTACAATGATAAAAGGGTCGATTGAGGAGAAAGATTTCAAGAAATACCTAATATAAGGAGAATTATCCTAGACCGCATTAATAATTTATTACTTCCAATAATATCATGAATGTAGGCATAATCAATTATTCCTATCAATATTAAATCACCCATTTCGTCTAAGAATAATCTGATTCAGTCGTGTTTTTATTTCTATCGGTGTATATATGGTGTATATGGTGTTTATAGTAGGAAAGCTGAGGACATAGTACCAATGTAACATTTGATCTTAACATAAGAGAAATATAAACGTACACGTAACGCACACCCACACAACACTCATACAAACACAAACACAAACACACAGCAGATTCGATATCATTATAGATTGAATGGCATACAAATACTTGAAATTGGTTTATATTGACCGTCTTAAAATATAAAGGTTTTTTTCTCAACATCTCACTATCGTCTGTATGTGATGATCCCCCACTCCACAGAACGGATTTACCCCTACTGATTAAATTGCTGTCTTTAAAAAATAAAAAAAAGTTTCTTTATTCAATGATGTCACTTAATACATTGTACGCTTTTTGTTCTTTACAATAATCGAAGCAAATTAAATTACTTATTCGATGATAATGAGACCATGTCGTTGTTACAACTAATATCCTTTGTGTTCTGCAAAATATATATGTGATTTATATTATCATCTAAATTACCATGTTGGGAATGTGCTATTCAAGCGATTATTAAACACGATTGATTACAAGGACTAATTTAAATTTGTATCCAGTGTTAACAAAATGAACTTAATGTCCCCGTTTCCAGTTGACTCTCTCTCTCTCTCTCTCTCTCTCTCTCTCTCTCGCTCTCTCTCTCTCTCTCTCTCTCTCTCTCTCTCTCTCGCTCTCTCTCTCTCTCTCTCTCTCTCTCTCTCTCTCTCTCTCTCCCGCTCTTCTCATCTACACACACATACACACACACATGCATGTACCCTACATTTTTCTCCATTTCTCTTTCACACTTCATATATTTCAAATAATGAAAGTTAGACACTTCAAAGAACCATACAGGAGACAATGAAATAATGTATACATTAATATATTTTTTTGAATAATAAAATATGAAATAAATTATTTTAAAAAGATAATACAATAATAATAAATAATTTTACTATGAAGCAAAGTCGATAGTGGGTAAATGTTTAAGAGGAAGTTTTAGATAAAGAACATAGAGTACTAAACAAAAGTTGTCAAGAGGTAAAGAAAAAAAGATGAGGTAAAAAAAAAGGGGGGGAAATATATGACGTAGCCTATTTATGTATGGCTCGTATTCATTTTGTAATCGTTTTCGGCTGCATACGATTTCGTGTTACTAAAAGTGACAGTGATTTATATTTGAAAAAAATGTTGTTTTAGGCCTGCATAATATTCATCAAAAGTCTTGGGGACAAAAAAGTCTAGATAACTCCTCCAAATCCCTTGTGAGGCATTTGGATCCTTCAAATAAACGGACTGGAAGACGTTTTTCGATGTCCCGTCGGGTATTTCACCTTTCAGTTGGTACGCTCTAAGAGACTGCCTGTAAAAATGATAAAGACAGAAATCACCGATATGAAGATAGAGAATATACTGATTGAATCGTGCAAATTATTAAGTTTAAAATTTGAATCATGATGATTAGGAGATTGATATCATTTTTGTATTGAAGTGTGGAGCATAAATGACAAAAATATCAATCTAGTTTCTTCTCCCCATCTCTCTCTCTCTCTCTCACCTACATGTTTCGTTCTATAATACCATCCCTTCAAAAAGAAATGTCACTTTCAATCTTTTATGCTAACTTTATCACTTTTGAAAACATGAATGATACTGCTTGAACATGTGTTTACCGTTGCAATTGCCCTCGCTGACAATCTTGAGGTTTCTGTCGTTTCTCGTGCATGCTGATTCCCTGAGCTCACATAGATTACCATAGGTGGTACCGTCAGACCCACAGACGGTTTGGCTACGGGAGATGAACGATGGACATGTAGAACAGCCTAGACCAACCTTGCCACCTGAGTAGAAAGACGACAATATTACGAGAAAC